AGTAACAAAGGCAGGAATGAGCAAGAAGAACAGAAAATGCACATGGTACGGCAATGGGAAAGCAGAAGAGATGGACATTGGTTCATGTTTTAAAATGGTGTCAGAAGAGATGAATAAAGGTTGTCTCTTGCTGTCAGAATAGTCTGATGAAGGAACTGTTTTATTGTGCTGGCTATAATATGATCCATTTTGAATGCAGCGACAATTCTTCACTCCAAGCCCTGCATTCAAAACTCTTCTCTATTAATCAGCTCCCACTGAGCACAAAAATCAGCCTTTACCAAAGAGCAGGGCCTAAGAAAACATTCAGGGGGATTCTGAGAGCACACATAGGCTTTGCAGGGCTATGCTCAGAGAATATTAAGCTGCTTGGAGCAGCTCGTACCACTGCTTCATCTTCTAGTGTCCTGCAGTATGTTTTCTTTCAGATTTAGTATTAACAAGATTACCAGAGCAGGTTGCAACAAATAAATTGCTTTCCAAAATTAACCATAAATGGAAGATAGAAAAGGCATCAAATGCAAGTAATATGCATGTTTGTTTTTAAAACACCAAGTTGGAGATTTCAGTGACATTTCGGTTACACAATATTTCTAAGTACACCCAAGTATTTCTAAACCAAACTGCCTTTGTTGATTTGTGCTTTCACTGAGGACAATTACATAGAACCATAGAATAGTTTGGGTTGGAAAGGTCCTTTCAAAGGTCACCTCGTCCAACCCCCCTGCAATGAGCAGGGACATCTTCAACTACAACTTCACCTTTGATCCTGGTTTTAGCTATTTCATGATTATTCCTCTGTTTCTTTAGGTGCTATAAGACCATTTCAATTAATTTAAAAGATTCCATGTGGACCAGAACTCCCAGAACCTTCTATACTACACCCTTTTTCAATCTTTGAATTGGATTTGTGTTAGGAATTGTTAGGCACTGCTAGAGGCTACAGCTACATCAGTCAATGCATTTGATTGATAATTTTTAAGTGTAACTTTGAAATGCCACAAACCTTTTCCAGGAAAGCACTGAGCACTCTTACATACTCCCAATATTTGGCTAAGCTCTTCACAGAGTTAACACAGTGCTAAATTTGCTGCATATCATCCTTTTTCCCTATCTGCACCAAAAAAGGTTAGTTAAGACCCCTATGCAGGTTACAGCAGGGTTGTACAAGGCATTCCAGTAACTAGTGACCACCAAAGTACATAAACCTTTATTACCCTCTGCTTTGTTAAGACATTTTAGCACAGATATGACAACAACCTAAACCTGGGTGCACAGAGCCACTGTCAGGCAATTTAACACAGTGACAGACCAGTACAAAGAACCACAGCAGGGCTAAAACAGGGAGTTGAATGCTCAGCAATTGAACAGCTGCCCTCTGCACCTTGAAAAAGCCACTCTCTCATGTACAGCTTGATTTACGAGATGACAACTTTGTTTTTTCAGTAGAACTCCTCATGTATGTACAAGGAGTACAATGGACAGCTGGGAGCTACACAACCAACCTGCTGTTTTTCCAGACTTTGCATTTATGCTTATTGCAGCTTTGCAGGTAGAGGTTTCACCCAATGCTTCCTAGCACTGTAACAAGAGTATGTGTGAGTTTGAGATGAGAAGAGACCATTGCCACTTCCTCTTGTCAATAGTCACCAGTTTCCCTCTTATATACTCAAATCCCTGTCCCTTACATAGGAGCTGTCACCACCTGCTTCTTCTCTTTCTCCTCCAGACTTGGCTCCTGAAGGGGAGCCAGCAAGACAGGAGAGGAGATGCAGGGTATGTGAGATAGTACAGAAAGAAAGCGTAGGGATGCCTGGGGGCAAACAGTGGTTGAAGCCTGCTGAATCAGTGTCTGGGTAAGCAGCAAGGGTATGCTGATGTGGCTGGTATTTTACACATAGCAATCTGCTTTTATACCTGAATGATGGACTGTAACTCCTGGATTTTAGTCTTCATCATCTCATTTTCCCGCTCCAGCTCCAAAACCTGTTCCTTTTTGGGTCGGTTTTCAATATCATTTTTGAGCTTCAAAGACTGGTTCCTCTCCAGCTTGCATTCCTCTTCCACCTTGTTCAAGCGATGCTTCAGCTGGTCAATCTACAGCAGCCAGAGAGCAGTGAAAAGGAGAGAGAGGAAAGGAAAGAAATCATTCCTAGCTCTGATATTTACTGCTCTGAAAACACTCTCACTTCCAGGTGAAAACATACTGTCATAGGTGGGGAAAATAGCTTAAAATGTGAATACTAACAGGGAGCAGCAGATAATTGGATGAATGTACATGGTGTTGAATATCCACAACTGAACTGTTGAACTCAAGCAGAAGCTTGCTGTTAGGTAGCTACAACTGATAAGGGCTGGTTGTAAATTTTTATAACATCTGGACTAAAAAAGAGTGGCACATCCTAAATCCTCCCATAAATAGAGATATGCAACAGATTAACACTTGGGAGGCTGACCACATGCTGTGCTTTTGCATAATAACTATTTGGATTGGGAAAACCAGGGGCTTTGAGTTCTGGATTGGAAAGAGGGGTTCCCAAAAAGAAAAAGTAACTTCAGACAGGGGACCTGGGAAGAAGGTGTTGATGATCATGAGTGGAGGAAAGATTTGAAAGTGGGGGAATATCCTGGAGGTCAGAGATGCACAGGATAAAGGCCAGGGATGCCCAGGGACCTTGGCCAATAATGGCTGCAGCTGGTGACCGTGAGCAGCTGCACAGCATGAACCAACATGACTTTCTGCCCAACCATCCCACACCAGCAGCCGTGTCCCCATGGGAAGGGATGCTGAGCCCAAGAGAAGGCAGCACTGAGGCTGTGAGTGGGGCAGTGAGCATCAACTGTGTGAAAAACAAAGTGGGGCAAAATGTCTGATATCATTGGTTCAAAAATAAACCCCAGTGTTCAGATCCACTGTGGGTAGTTGTTACTCCATCTCATCTGCAACACACACACACAAGCATGAATTTTATGGCACTTGAAGCATTTCTCTGTATTTCCTAACTGACCTCAAGCTGTTCCAACGCCCTATGTGAGCCTTTCTGAGTAAAACACCAGCAGCAGTAGTGCAAACCTGGATAACTGCCCCAAGATATTATTGAGCCTGAAAAGCTAAAATTATGTTTTTAGCAAACAATTATGTTTTTAAAATTTTGGGTTTACTTATGTTCTGTTAATCTATTCCAAGTACGTAAATTATCTGCCATCAATACACATTAATGCAGTTGGCATTTCTGTACAGCGATGCCTCTAATTATCTGGATAAGCAAAGCACATGAGAGCTCTACACCTTGCTGCTGTCAGAGAAGGTCTCATTTTGCTGGATGCCACCAGCATCCTCCACTGCTGCTCCTGATTAAAGCAGCCCAGAGCATTTCCCTCACCTCTAACTGGAGGTCTCGGCTCCTTATTACAGCCATGCTCTTCTCGTCACTCAGCTGGGCATATCTCATGGCCAGATTGTAGTTCTCATCTTTCACCTTGACCAGCTCATCATTGTAGTTGTTCCTCTCCTCCTTCATCTTGTTGTATCTCTCCTGGAAGGTCAGCAGCTCTATCTTGTTCAGTTTGAGCTGCTTTCGCTCATCCTCCAACTGGCGAGACTTGGCCAACAGTTCACAGCGCTGCACATCTTTTGTCTTCACTTGCTGCTGAAGCTTAATGATCTCATTCATTAGGAAGTGGGTAAGGCCTTCATGTCCCTCCTCCACTGAAAATGTTTGAACAGCTTTTCAGTGTCTAATAAAGTAACTTTAAGTAGGATTAGCAGAACTGTGTAAGAAAGAAATGCCCCAGAACATGTACAGAGGTGCAGAATATACACAAATACACACACATTTGTGTATCTAACTCACAACAGCACAAATATTACACAGCATACTATTAACAGAATTACAGTATACACACATACAGCTTGTCTGGATAGAATATGGAGCCTCTGCACTTGTCTTGTTTCAGCTGAGCTAACAGGGCTGTGGAAATAGCACAAACTTTGTCAAACAAATCTGTACAACTGCTATTACTCTGCATGCTTCAAATTTGCTACACATACATCTGTAGGTCACCAGTGTAATTTAGCCCGCTGTTCCAATGTTTCTTCTCTTGAGATTACTTGTAATGCCTAGCATTCAATTAGAAGCTCTTCATTCAGACAACTGAAATGCTCATTTCATTCTATATTACCTGTGGCTAGCACATTTTGCATTGAAGGGAACTGAAAAACTGAAGAAGGCTATTGCAAGATTAGTTTTTATTTCTTGTCTGCAAAATTAAACCCAGTCTTCAAGACATTGCCTGTTCAATAGGCTCATTTGGGGTTGATTCTACTCACCAACAATAGTGGAAAATCTCCGTGTAGGTTCTTTCCCTGTCACCAGTTTGTAGAGTTCAGGATAATAAAACTCTAGGCTCTCCAAGAAAACTACATAGCCCCTTTGGCCCTTGGTGTGGAGAATGTCGAGCAGTCGGCCTAAGCAGAGAGAGCAGAGGTGATGCAGCAGCATGATGAGCAGCATAGGTGAGTACCGTACCCCTGATGTCAGTTCTGCTTAAGGTTCATCTCAGCCACAGCAATGTGCTGTGAAAATGCAGGCTGATTAATTGAGTTCATCTGAACTCGTAAAGCAATGCCACTTATTCGTTATGCTTGTGCTGATTGTTATGCTCTAGGAGTGTGGGCAAATTGGTCTCTCAGTGCAGCCTTTCCCAGGCAGTGATGGAATTCCAGGGTAGCAGACCCTTAGTGACAAATCACGAGGCATGACAAGACAGCTGAAAACCCACTCTTGGAATGGCTGCTGCCTGTGCTGACACATTTGCCAAGGCTTTGATGGGAATGTGAACCCCGTGAGCTCCAGTCTGCACAGCACTGGAAGGAATCATTGTTATCGACATAGCAGCAGCAGATCTTCCCTCTTTACATTAAATCTCCTGTAAATGAGATAAAGGTTTTCCATTTGATAATCTGCAATTGGATACAGGCTCCCTCCGGACTTAGCAAAAGAATATTGTTCCGATCAGGATGCAGATGTAGCCATTCACAAAACAATTACCTGCTCGGTTAATTTTGGAAGGCAGCATAAGTGAGTTAAGCACCTCATCCTCATCTTGCTCGTCGATGACTTTGCACTGCCGCAAGTAGGGGGTCAGCTTGGCTGGATTGATGTAGCGGCTCAGCATATGCCGGTTGCATTCTACGTTCTCCCATAAAGCTTCCTCCTCATCTTTCAGTGTCTCCAGGCAGTCATCCATCTCTGGCTCTCCTCCTTAACAAGGGAAACAACTGGCAAATAAACATCAAGCAAGACAGCTTCTATCCTGTATCTTTTTTTTTTGGTGCTTCCATGTCACATAGGATGAGCTCAGAATCACTTCTGACCAATGCTGGATTTGCCTTGTATTGAAACTGTTTGAACTCAAGTGCAGCCTGTCCACAGCTCATCTGGAAAGTGACAGTTCAGAGAAGTGCTATCTTGAGTCTGTGAACTATTGCATATTGCTCTCTAGTGATGAATCTGTAGCTCAGCTAACTCCATGAAGGTCTCTAAAAGGCAGAGAATCCCTCTTCATAATAGAAGCACTGGCAAAGGACATGGTGCAGTGCAAGAAAGGGTATGAAAACGCAGAGCTCAGAGCAAAGACAAATACTTGCTGTAGGCAACTAAGGCTTCCATTCTCACCTCTGCTGTTCCTCTCAGCTGCACTGATCTGAACCTGGATTTTTACCTGCATATTTGTGATGAACTAACACATGTAAATGACTGCACCACATGAATAGTTAACTCGTAAGTAAGCACTTGCGTATCTCTGCCTTCTGCAACGTGTATGCATTGACCGACGCGTGGGTATGAATGCAAGTAACCTGTGAGTCTGGACCTTGCCTTTCTCTGCACGAGTAAGTATAAGCATTGTACCACTGAAGTCTGAAAGCGTTCTTGACTCATGCAAATATTATCACATGATTTCTGAGTGCTTGCTAAGCAATTTCCTGCCAACTCCTAATTTGTAACCACCTCATTAGAAAAGGTTACAAGGCAGGCAACAATGAGGTGAGAAAACTCCTCCTCAAGTTAAGGACGAGTTAAGTTAAACTTGACCTAAAGTTAAGAAACCTTGTAAAAATCTTTCCTTATCAATCTTACAATAAATATTAACTTTTGAGATGAGTATTCTAGCTTTCTCAAGATCTTGTGATCCAGGTGGCACAAGGAAGATAAGCTTCTATTTCAAGAAGTATTTTGCCCCATCAGAGACCACAGTACAGGAAGAATGTGCAGTTTTTAGGTCATAGGAGACAAGATCTGTGCTTTATGAGACTTTGCTGGTAATCAGTAACTAAAGACCTTAAAAGCAACATGCTGTTTTTCTTTAACCAGAAGAGTTCTCTCCATTGTGGCATAAATTCTTCAGCTTCCAACTTTAGGAACTGCAAAGAAGCCTGAGTTACATTGAACATCCCCAGGCAAAATCAGCTATTAATCTGTATATGCATGGGAGATTAACTCCTCATTTTGAAAACTAAACCCAAAAGTGCTAATCTGCTAAATAATGTGTTTGTCAGTGTTCTACCATAATGACATACAGAAGAGTCCTACAAAAAAGAGTATTCTTCGCTCAATGCTTTCAAAGGCATTTGTCCAAGTTCATAGGCTGGGGTTCAGTGTCTCTATGAGAAAAAATGGGTTCCTCATACTATGCCTGGTTTAGGGGAGTAGTGCCAGGGGTTTTGTTCTTCTCCTGTACTCCAGTAGCTTTACCAGTGTTCTTTGTAGTTTCACATCTCAGGAACCACTTATTTAGCATTTGCTCTGCTGTTGGCATGTAGATTCAGGCTGAGGAAGAGAAGCTGCGTGGAGACCTCAGAGCAGCATTCCAATATCTGAAGGGGGCCTACAAGGGTGCTGGAGGGGGACATCAGGGACTGTAGCAATAGGGCAAGGGGTGATGGGTTTAAACTGAAACAGGAGAAGTTCAGGTTAGATATAAGGAAGAAGTTCTTCACAGTGAGGGTGCTGAGGCACTGGAACAGGCTGACCACAGAAGTGGTGAATGCTCCATCCCTGGCAGTGTTCAAGGCCAGGTTGGACAGAGCCTTGGGTGGCATGGTCTAGTGTGAGGTGTCCCTGCCCATGGCAGGGGGTTGGAACTGGATGATCTTAAGGTCCTTTCCAACCCAAACTATCTATGATTCTGTGAATCTATTTTACTACTCCAGTGGCTGATATTAAATGGGATGGGAGAGACAACAATCTTCAGAGGGAAAGGAAGACCAGGTCTGCTCTGTGGGGTCTGGAACTGTGGGGACATGGCTCCAGTTATGGGAAAATGTCTCTGTTCTTACAAACTCCTCCCAAGCTGGATGAAATTCTTACTGAATGCCAGCATTTACATGTGGTAAAGATGACACTGCAGTAATGAACAGTATAAAGCTAAACAAATAGAAATAGCTCTATAAAATAGGTAGCAGTGGGAGGACTGCTAAAGGTGAAATAGCTTCATCTGAAGTACACATAAATTCTCATGAACCTTACTCTCCACCACTTATTCTGGAGATAACTGTATTTCACTTCAAAGATGAATTTAACAAACACTAGATAATTGGAGAAGCTGAACTTTTGGGAGTAGAAGGTAGTAAAACAGAGGGTCACCCAGTCCTGTAGTCATCTTGCAGCCACTGCTATCTGTTGCATCCAAAGAAAGGCGTGTTGCAGGCCCTTTAATTTGGGGGAGGGCACCAGGAAGCTCACAGATGTGCAAAAGAAGCACTTGCCTGAATTCCATAAAATGCAAGATATCTTGTAATCTGCTGCACTGAACCAGAAATTATTACACACTGTCAGCAATTCCCTCAGGACATTAGTAAGGCATTTCTCCATTAAATGATTCAACAAAGAGTTCACTCATCAGCGTAATTCTCAACATGGATACAGGGTTTTTTTTACCTGACATTAAAAATACCTTTATCAGATAGTCACTCATGTATGGGCTTAATACATCCATACTGTTATTTTGGGGACATAACGTTTAATGGGAAAGTAATAAGTATATTGCATGAGTGGCTAAGAACTTTAAAAGGTGCTTTCTGGTAGCAAAGTCCTGTTAAACACAGTCTATTATCAGGAGCAAGTCCTTAGGAATAGACTAAGAGTATAAGCCCCAAGTAACTCCACTGTCTTGTGGAGCTCTTCCAGAGACAACAGCAATGGACAGTGGATACTAGCACAGCACTCTCCTTAGTGAGCAAGGATTTCTGTGATTTAGTATTTAATATAATGTTGAATAGGATATAAAATGCTTGTAATTGGCTGACATTTTGGTGTCTGGTCAAAAACTGCATGTGCCAACTGAAACTCAGTGGGAAACCAATAAAGGTGTTGTATTAGTGGCTCTAATTTTAAAGACTTTCAGCAGCAGTATTTAAAAGACCTTATTCCCTGTCTCTGTCCTTCCGTCCTGTGATGCTATTGCAGAAAAGTTTTCACTTACAAAATTAAACATTACAAATTTAAAGTGTTTTCAATTGTGTAATCGCTTAATCTGGTCTTCATTACAATTACTAAAATTATCTAGCTTCTGCTTCCAGCACTGGGAGTTGTAACCTAACACATTCAGAAGTTGTGATATGTCATAGAAATACCATGGCATCCATTACAAATCACAGGTGTGAAGTCACAGACTTGGACTGACTTCAACAGATATTAACCAAGAAGAAATAAGAATCACCACAGCAGTTAATAAATTGCTGTCCTGCTGCTCCTTTCAGTAGTTAGTATACAAAATAGCTTTTAACTGCAGGAGATCCTAATCCAGTAATAATCTCAGCAAGTTCCATCTATTTCAAAGATCTCTGTAGATACAGACAAATAAAAGAGAGAATCCCTTTTTACATTGAAAGAAAGACTCTACTCCCCTCATCAGCTTTTCTCTCTCAGGGACTACCTCCCTATCTTGGCTGTAACACACAAATGAATCTTTCTGTGTGTTTGCTAGAATTTTTTGTCATATTTTTCAACTGCACAAATCACCTTGCAGTTAAAGCTGCTCTCTGTTCTCACTCAGACTCCACACTTTCATATGCCAGTGACACTCTCCACTGATCAAGGGAAAAAGCCTGCAGGCTTCAGAAACAGGGGTTCTATCAAGTGCTCATCATCAGGTCACAGCTAAAGCTTTGGGTTTTGTGATTCATTTCATGATGGTGCAGGAATTAACCCTTCAGCTGCTCAACTATTTGCATCCCCTTGCTCTGAATGCTTGTCGCCTGTTGACACTGAGAAGTCACCATGTAAGAGATGGTGAATGCAGGCTGCAGCTTGGTTTTCTGACTTCTTGGTATATCTCCTTTGTGAAACTGGAAGAAAGGGTATTGTCTTCACACTGAGAAGCAGGAGGAAGTGTATTTTGGAAGAAGTGATCTATTTTTAATGCTTTGGACTTCTGCATTTGTCACAGATGTTCACAGCCCGGCAGTATATAAAAAGAAACTGCAACACACAAAATGTTTGTGCAAATTATAAGCTAATAAGAACAGAGTTTATCCTAAATACTGCATATGTGCTTATAAACCAGGAAAGGATTACATACCAATTATCACACTTGAAAGGGTGATAATAAAGCAAAAATGAAGATGAAGATAGCACTTTGTATATAATTATCCTCAACATTTTGAGGGTATTGTCTTACATCCTCTTTCTAAGCATGTCTCTAGACTTCTATTCAAGCAATATGCTTTCTCCCTCAGGTTCATATAGCACGTCGCATGATAACGTATAACAACAGGGTGATTTTCTCAAAAGCTGCTTGTATGGATATGTGCAGATTTGCAGTATCAGAGAATTGCCAGAGCACAAAGGGATTTAGAGATAGCTCTAATTTTAGAGGAAAGTCACAGTTTAAAGTGTGATAGGGAAATTCTATTCCTTTGCTTAAGGACAAGAGAGCTCTATTTGTACTCCTGGCTTTCTGAAATGCTGCATACCAGCTGTTTCCCATTATGTTGGCTGCACTGCTGGATGTTCTACAGTACTGAAAACCACTTTTAAAAGACTTAAACATTGATTAAAGATGACTACATTTGCTTGCCTATACTTGCAATTTTTTTCCATAGAGTTGCTAAATCTGGACTCCCAGGGCAGACAGTGTCTTCATCTGGCTTTAAGAATTTGCACTTTATATTCATTCTTTCTTCCTCAGTGTCCCCACCTGAAGACAAGGTTAGTTAGAAGTACTTTTATGACAAGGTAGGACTCATTACTTAGTG